ACAAACAATACGAAGCCCGAAGGAGACGGTCCGGAGGAAGATGATCTGAAGGAGAATGACCCGAAGACTAGAAGACAAAGACTTGAAGATGAAATGCCTTACTTTTAAGACTTGCATCATTCAGTAAGATTAGAATCCAGGTTGTTGTCGGTGGGGCCTGACCTGCAGAGTCTGAGTTGTACTATATGTGGCACTTGCCACGGACTTTTGACTTTTTTTGACTTGGTTTTATTTATATTGATGTGTTCATATTGTTTGCGCAGTAGAAATTGCATGTTTTTTTTATGTTTCTTTCTTGCATGTGTGTGGCCTAATTTTTTGGCTCTTTAAGGACTAAAACCTTTTCTACTCATAACTAAAATTTAATATTTTAGGATTAAATAATATAGAAACCTAAAGATGCGGGGAATAGCCGGAATCGTCCGGGGTCGCATGCATATTATTGCATTTTTTCATCTCCTTTTATGAAACACTTCCCTGTCTGTGGGTAGAGTTCGGATAATATGTGGCCTATGAGGAGTCCGGATAATCTGGCCTATGAGGAGAGGTGGCGGATTTGAGGATTTCTAGTATTTTTTAAAAATTATTTTTTATAAGCCTTTTTAAAAATTCTATGCATATCTGATTTGGACCTTTTAATCAGGATACATCGCATTAGAAATCAACTGAATCAAAATTTAATTGTATTAGTTCTAGAAGTATTCACCCTACATAAGTCTAAGGCCAATTAGGAAACTCCCTAGATGTCGGTCTTACTTCCAAAACTTAGCCTCCTACCCATCTTTCATAAAGACTGAACAACATGAATTTTATGCACTTAGGTGGTTAGCTGGCTTTCCTTTTCATGCAAGATATAAACCCAGGAGCATTAGTTAGGACACATGTGTTAGTGTTATGTAGAACACTAAACCCACCTTAAATCTAGGGTTCAAGGCTTCTATATTTGGTATCTTGTAGTACGCCTCATTGGTGGGTAAGTTCGCTATTTCTTAGGGACTATAAATCATACCTATCCGCATCACAGGGATGACGCCACATCCATCCTTCTTGCTCTCCCGTATGCTTTGAGTGTTTGATTTTCTTTTCTCCAGTTTTCTCCCAATACCTTAGTCCCTCCGGATGCTATTATGGGCCGTGTGTGTTGATTAAGCCACTTTGGATCATTTCTTTCCCTCTGCGTAAGATTTCCTAGTCTATCCCCTTATGTGTCAATTCCATTTTGAAAGGATAATGTTGAATCCTTAATCGAGAGTATTCTCGGGCCCCAAGCTTGAGATGTAATTAATCGTAGGGACTTGCGCCCGCGGGAAATCGAGTCTCACTATGAAATAAACCTCACTCGAGCTGATGTATCGGGTGGGGGAAATTCATTTTTACAATCAGGCCGTGTTACTACCAATCGGGGTGCGCTGGCGAGAGCCGCTATCCTCAATGGTTAGTCATATGTGCGATCTAATCTGCTCTTCCATTGGATCGCTTGCGAAGAGCGCGGAGGCCCGTGTTCATCTCGTCCCTCGGGATAGTGCGGTCGTATACCCCTATGCACTCTGTTCCCCCGCTTAGTGAATACCTTTTCGGAGGTCCACATCTTGTAAAGAGGGTGGTAAGCTGAGCCATAGCTACAACTTCTAATGTTTATATGATATGCTATAAGCACTAAAAAAGGAGAAGGAAATATAAAAAAATAACTCAGGCATGAAACAAGAGATTTAAATTTTTTGATCAAGTTAGTGTATTAGTAGTAAAGATAATAAGATCTTAGTGCAAGATGAGGACATAAAAAAATGTTGGAATGTTGCTATGATAAATTATTAAATGAGAGCTCAAATAAAATGTATATAGATATTCAGCTGCGTAGGATTGAATGCGTAAAAGTAAAGATTTATATTCAAAAGAAATATATATCGATTTGAGGGTTATGAGTGATTGCATTACTCCAAATGAGATATCTATTGAGATCTGGAGAGTTAAAGATAATATTGTAGTTGTTTGATTAACCGAACTGATTAGAATTTTAAAGGTTAAAATGATTGCAAATTATTAATGAAGAAATATTTTGGCACTTAGTCTTAGGAAGAAAGTAGATGTTCAAGATTGTCATGAAGTGTAACACGGAGTAATAAAATATGCGCTTAGAAAAATTACATTGTTTTGGAGAATCACTTGGATTTTTTGCTGAGAAGATCTACTATTAAGGTTATTTATAGGGCAATTAACAAAAAGGTACAGCGAATAGAGAAAAGATCTTATAATTTTTTATTTTATTGAAATGAGAAGATATGTGATCACATGCCTATTTTAAGGAAAAAATGTGTGTATCAAAGATATATTGAATTTACTAAAGAAATGTTATGTAGAACACAAAGTTCAAATTCAAAGAAATTTTTAAAATTTTTGTATTTAAATTTGATTTTAAATTTTGAAATTCAAAATTTAAATTTTGAAAGAAAGTTAAATTAGTTTTTAGAAGTTGGTTGAACATGAGAGTAGTTGATCAACATCATTTAGGCATCCAGTCATGTTGCTGAATTTCATGTAAAATCAGACCTATATGTGTCCTGCAAGCCAAGAGGGGTTTTCCATATCGACATCCCCAGGTAATTTAAAGTCCAAGAACAAACAAGCAGTCTATCCTTTTTTCCAAATGATAATTCAAATGAAGAGTTACCTCTATGTAAGCAGCCCTTCACATGCAAAACTAGTTCCTGTCCTCTAATTGTCAATTTGAATTTTAAATATTTTAATTTTATTTTGAATATTCTAAGTTTTATTTCAAATTGTGAATGCCCCTCTTGTAAATTAAAAAAAAGAAAAGAAAAAAGAAATAGACCTTTTGCTGTTTTTGTTCCGAACTTAAGCCTCTGCTTTTTCTGGTGAACGGCTTCTTTGAAAACTTGGTGGCTTCCATGATTTCATTATATGATTTCTTTGGTAAGACATTATAATTATGTATCTTATTTTTATATGTATCAAAATCCTTCTTTCACTTTGAAGTTATGGATGGTACCTTCCACAAGGTAATGGATGTTCATTCATGATTTCTTTGTTGTTTTCACAATCATGTTGGCTTGAGATTTGGCTACACTTCATCATCAATTCCATCATCCCTCCACCTCCACAACCCTCTATATTTTACTTCTATATTCTAACTCGTAACTCTTTTCCTCCACTTTCCATAAGCATGAGCATCTCCACCCATAGCTTACAAAACCTAAAAATAATAATGCCCCTCCATAAGTTATCTCATGATCACAGGTGAATTCCCTTTTAACCATCACTTCTTGTAGTCCACAATCACCCTAGAAATCATCATATTTCATCTAAATATTATCACTCTCAAGTTTCAAGAACCATGACCATTTAAAACGCCACCTATCCTACTTCAAGATATTTTTAGATTATTGACTAATATTAAAAGTATATGTTGAATGGCAAAAGAGCTCCCAATAATGATGAATAGATATGATAATATTGACATGACATGATATGATCATTATTTTGTATTATTTATAGAGATATTTGTAAAGGATATTCAAAGCAAATAGCTTCGTGTATGCTTTCCATAGGTGATATAGTTCTAATTTATATGTTGTTCTGTGAAATAAGTACAATTTTAGAATAATAGAGAAGTAATTAAAAAAATAAAGGGCTTATGATTAGTTGAACAAAGATTGTGTATGTGATAAAAACTCAGGGTGATGTTAAAAAATATTATGTAACATTATTACTATGAAATATGTGATACTTAATGTTGGTAGTTTTAAATACTTGGATCTATTATATAGAAGAGTAATGATATAACTGTTAGAGTTAAGTTTTAGTGGTTAAAATAAGGATGTGCCTCAGGAGTATTATATAATAAGAGAATATTATTGAGACCTAACTACAAATTTTATAGGATGATTATGTTAACAAGGTCTTAAGATTGTGCAATAAGCCTATAAATTGGACTACAATATCAACTGGAAATCAAATAATTCTTTTTATTTGCTTGAGCTCAAGTCAAATTCAATGAGACAAGATCGTCTAGGATCAAACTTGAATTGAGCAAGATGTGAATAAAAAAAGATTGGCATAAAAAAGATAACTCATGATTGATGTGTATGTGTGTGTGTGTGTGTGGATGTAAAGCATGACTAAATGCTAAAATGATAACTTTCAAAAAAATAAAAAATTGGTAGTTGACCTTGATCCATGTTTGAATCATCTCTTGATTGGATCATTCCTTTAATGGCTAGTAAAGAAGTCACTGGGAGCCAAGTTGTACATAGTAAAAAATGAGAATGTTATGACTAATGTATGTATGAAAAAATTAAGAATGATAGATTGATAAATGATTATATAGGATGATGGGTGTAGCATCTACTAAGATATTATAATAAAAAATAGACATAATTGGCTTGAACATATATACAAAAGAGTAGAAAATGTGCCAATAAGATGGTTTGAGAAAATTAGTGTGTTAAAGAAATCGAAAAGAAAAGGGGCTAAACCAATGCAACTATGGACAAAGGTTGTGCAAAATGGGTTGTTCATTACTGGCTATAATGGGGTTGCTTCCACTTGGGACAAATAATGTAAGAACTTTATTAAATCCTTCGGGTATCAACAGAGACTGCAAATTTCATTATTTGGATCATTATCTGATTCCTCAGATGCATAGTGTAGTAAAATGAGCATGAAAAGTATATATATATATATCTAGTTAGGTAGGTGTAGTAGGAAATATATTTCTTCTTGTTGGCAATGTTATCTGATGCTCCAGACTGATATTTTTGGTGCGGGTATGGATCACTGCTGATTGTACAGTGCATATTAAAGTTGGAAAGAATCAATCAAAAACATTGCCCGAGTTGCTTTATTTAAATTTCCTCATCTTCACTGTTATCATTTTCCTTCAGATTAGATTACTTCACGATCTTCTTTTTTATTTGTTCAACTTGATTCAATTTTTCTCCCGGAGGTCGGGCATATAAATGCTTCAATCTAATGCTTGGCAGCCAGCTCAAGACTCTAGATTTCCTGGGAGGGCTAGGACACTTGGTGCCACAAGAAACCAGCCAACATCTGGAGTTGATTCTGACTTAAGCTTGCAAGCTGGACTTCTGGAAAATTCTGAGACATATAACCACTTGGAAACATCAGCAATTGGAACAGGAATACAGCCATCAGATGGAAGGTTGTGGTTCTTTCAAATGGTTCAACTCTATAATTGTGTGGTTATTTAAGCATATTTGATTTCCTTATTTCCTTATGTGCATTGTGCAACCACTATGTCAGCTGTCAAGCTGAACTAAGGCTGATAATGAGTTGAGTTTGATCGAGTTTTGCTCAAACTTAAAATAGCTCGATTTCACATTGGTTGAAATCGATGTTGCGTTGACTCAAAATTAAAAGAAGATATGACGTTTGAGGTAGGGTTTGAGGTAGGGATTGAACTTATGACGTCTTGTATTAACTCCAAGATAACGACCAAATGAACCAACTATTACTTAATGTTTATTTTATATCAAATATATATACAATGCATACTTTTTTCGACGAATTGAATCTCAAGCGAGCTATTCTAGACACAAAATTAATTGGAAGTAGATTTAGAGTTTCTGGTTCGGAACTTGAATTGAACTTGGTTCTAGTCCATTTCAGTTTGACTAAAAAAATGAGCTAGGTTCGAATTTTGGGTATTTTTATCATTCTTAAACTCTATAAAAAAACTACAACCACTAAAATTAGCCTACTGGAATCGAAAATCAGTTCAGTTAAATTTATTTCAAATCATGATTTTACAACATGATTTCAGGTTTTTGCCTATATCTTCATTTATTGAAATCTTAAGCTGTTAATATATCACATGCCCATTCTGTTGGCTTATGAAGTTCTTGCCTTAATCTACTGTTTGTTCATTGCTTTTATTGTATTATCTAGATTGTGTTGATATCTGGTTGCAATCCATCATTTGTTGCTTTATTGGTTCTACTTCTCTGGAAAGATTGCATTGCTGTCTATAATGATTAAAAGTGATTCTATCTGATCTCTTTCTGTTTTCATTTCTTTAGCCATCAAAATGACTTGGCCTATGTACAGCAATCTTAGGTTTAAGTGGCATTTAAATAGCTGAAGTCTACTGATGCCATTGACTGCATCTATATTGCAGCTAATTTTGTTACAATGATATCAAAACAGCTGAATTATTTGATGTAATGAACCAAACAAACTAAACTCACCAAGATAAAATGCAAACTAATATATCTGATTACCAAACACCCCCCAAGTTTTATCTGCTTGTTCCTTTTCATTCTGCTAGTAAATAATACTTAGATTTCCTTCTAAAGAATACTCTCTAAATATTCCCACATCAATTTTATTTAGTAAACCTCTCTATATAGAGCTAACCACAGCTTATCAAAACAACACAAAATCTTTCTGTCAGGCTAACCAAAATATTTCCTACCACCATATTCTCAAAACCTAAAAATAGCTCTTTCAGTTCACCTTGTTTTGTTCATGCATTCAAGCATAGCTTAACTCTTCTCGTCATTTCCTCCAAGCCACACGTTCTACTCTTCCTTAATCGTCTCCTCAAAATGACCTTTCCTTCTTCCCCATCAATGTAATACCGAAAACCCCTCCTGAAAAACCAAATAATTATTTTCCTAAATAACCACAAAATATTCCCCCATATCTTTCCATAATACTAACTTATCATCCTAAATTCAGCCATACCTAATCATACTGACCCTTGCCCACAGTATTATTACGTCAAAATATAATATTTATATTGATTATGATTATGTGCAATATATCTATAACATGTATCTTAGCTCATAATATTCATGTGTCTATCATGATACCTATTATCACTATCTTCTAATCCAAGATATGGATGAATAATATTCATTATTTATTAAACAACATCACTATTATAAATGATCCCTTCATGCTTCCCTTAATCAATCGTATGCTATTATTATATTGATGGATCTTCTCTCAGATATTCTCATGCATCCTAGTCTTGTACACTTGATCACCATACTTTAAATAAGGATGACTTATTTAATGTTTGATTTACAAACTTGATTGTCATGTTGCATAAACGAGACACTCCCTATTCTCACCGCTAACATTGTTAGTCTCCCAAACTCCACCTTACTGATGGCTTTTATTCAATCTTAAAAGCTTCACTTACCTCATTAACTTTACCAAGCTTGCTGGCTTCATGTGCCAATGTTGAGGATGATGATCTGAGAGCATGAGCTTGATCTAGTACTCGAGCTTCAACCTAGTCTGATGCCTGAGATTGGGTCTACTCTGGAGCAATGCTATTTTGTTGACTTTGTTCCACTACATCCTGAGATGGAGATATACGATGTTCCCTCGTTCTCTAAGCTGTTGCTTGCTCCACTACAATTTGTGCTGACACGCTTGTCATCTCCATGATACCATGGGCTGTTTCTCTTGTTGTTGATGGGATACTCTTGCATGAATCTTGCCTAAGTATGAATTTAAAGTTTCCAGATCCCCCAAAACTTGTTGGATCACCTATTGCTGTTTTTGTTCTTTAAAATGAATGTCAGCCTCTTCCTTGTCCTCTAGATTGCACTCAAGGCATGCACCCATTCAACTATTTATGAAAGGGGGGATTGATGTAGAAGATAATCATTAGAAGAAGCTGGAACTGTTTGTTTTATTATTGTAAGAAAAGGTTAGGAAGACTTTTTTATTTGAGAGTGACTCCTTTCATGAATGCTTCTTATTTTTATGCTACCTCTTGATGCCTTTATTTGTTTCTATTCTTATTAGTTTGAAGCCCACTCTATAAATAGGTGTTACATGTAAAGCTTTTCAACGGTATGATATTAGAATGAAATTGAAGCAAGGTTGCCGTTTTAGGCTTTTCTCTTTCAGTTCACTTACTCTCTCTTCCAGGGTCTCTCAATCTTGGCCAGGTGCCACCTCTGTCCCCCTTCTCTCCATGTCTCTCTCCTAAACAAATGCTTCCTCTATCTCTATTAAGGTTTCATCTAGCTCAAAAACTCCCACATTTTCATCAGTTCCATAACATCATGCATCTTCTGTTTGTTTGATTTTTGTATTTTTTGCAGAGTAAATTACATTTGGGTACTTCGAGTTTGTATCAAGTAAAAATGAGATTACAACTATTAAAATTTCATTATTTGGCTCCTTAAGTTTTTATGAAAGTTTAGTAGAGGTACTTCATTTAATGACCTTTTTGAGATAATTTTATTAGCTTAGGGGATCTGCTAATTAAATTATCGAAGTAGTGGATGTAACTGCTAGTTAATCAAAATCAAGGGATCAGTTAACTCCCCTTGCACAAATTATGCACAATATGAACTATCTCACTTATATGTCATGTCGACTTCTGTCTAGACGTTCCAGTGAAGTAGTGACATTCGATTCTTCTAAATATGGGTTCACAAATCACAATATTATACGCACCAAAAAAGCCATCTACTATCTGCCAAAGAAATTAGAAAATGATACAAGTAATATTGGGCTGTTGCTTTTCTTATCAGATAAATCGAAATATATTGTCTGGGTTTTTTAGCTGATCTGGTACTTGATTATTCTATATGATAGATTTTCCTTATACTAGTCATTTAACATAATATTTGGACGCCTTAGTATTAAATTTGATTAAGGTTCCATAGTTTGAATGCTTGTTTAATTATATGTTTTCCTATTACTTTAGGCATCTTAATGTTCTGTCAGAACGAGCCACTGAACTAGCCTCACATAATCAGGTAAAATTTCATGCCTATTATTTAATCTTCTTATGCATTTCTTAGAACCGAATGATCCTTTCTCTTATATTTGAAGCAGAGTTTAGATAGCTTTGAAGAAAAGCTGAAGAAACTAGTGGGAATGGGATTTGAGAAGGTATTGTTCAGAAAACTTTATGTGCACTGCATTACTTTTTTTTTATAATTGGTCATTGATCCTACTTACCTTAACACTCATCAACATAATTTAGGCCTATTCCAATTATCTGCATCTCAACTTTCATTGCTATTGTGCTGATATTTTTAGTTGAGAGTATTTAATTGGCGTTTTTAGTTAGTCCTTTAGTTATTACAATTTCTTGCATTGTTAAAAAAAGTAGCAAATAGGAATTGATGTGGTTTTCATTCTTCATGGATAAATGAAGACCTTGGCCGAATTTTTGAAGAAATATTGCATAAGCATTGCTACTCTTTCAAATAAAACCAAATTTAAAATGCTCTCTTGTATCTTATATCTATAATTTATGTAGCACGCCCAGATTTACAGCAGCTTTAGAATCAATTATCTCGAAATTTCTATTTTAAGTTTAAGATATATTTGTGGAGAATAGAATTTCCCATAGTACATTAGCTCATTAGTTTGTTGGATATTTAGCTTGTTAAGAAAATTATGAAGCGGTCTAATAGTCTTATTCTCTAATAGTCTTATTCTCTGCTTACCTTTAATTAATGATAATCAAGGTGAATAAAGGGCTGGCATTATTTTTCTTTAAAGTCAGCAGTTGCTTTTTAGTCCAAAATCTTTCTTTGTTTTTTTGGTGAAAGTTTATTTATGCTGCCAACTTTTGCCCAATTTTCCACCAAATAACACGGTTTAAGCAAAATTAAAACTATATCCTTAGAGCTGATTTACTAAAATTCTGTGTGGGATAATTTTTTCATTTCTTTTTGCCTATTTTTAAAACATTCTTATGATAAGAATTAGCTTTTTATGATCAGTATGCCAATATGTTATCCATAAGAAAATTACTATCCATTTTTTTTAAAAGAAAAAAAAATTATAATACCATACAACAGCAACAACAACAAGCCTTTATCCCACTACATGGGGTCGGCTATATGAATCTTTTTCTCCATTGTGTCCTGTTAAGAGTCAAATTCTCATTTAAATTTAATAAAGAAAGGTCATTTCTAATCTTTTCTATCAATATCTTTTTAGGTTTATCTCTACCTTTCTTAACTAAGCCAAATCTAATACATCTACTCTCCTAACTAGGTTATCAGAAGGCTGTCTTTTTATTTTGATCAAACCATCTAAGACAATTTTCTCTTATCTTATCTTCCATTGGAGCTACTCCAATCTTTTCACGTATATGCTCGTTTCGTATGATACTCCTAAATGATTTTAAAAAATATATTTTCCCTACTTCTCTAATGTTCTGCAAACATCTTCAGCCACTGTAATTGGACCCTAAGATGGTGTAAAAACGTCGTTCATCCCATGCCATCTTATTTCAATTTAAATTTCTGCATAATTAATAGGTTAGAACAGTATTCCTCTTTATTTGGTTTCACAAATCACCTTCTTCCATAGAACAGTCTCTCTTCTAATTATTCTATCAGTTTTCGCTTATCTTCCATCCTGCTTGGAACTACCACCTACTTGCTTTGGGTTATTATTTGTATTGTTTTCTGTGAACTTGTGTGTTTCAGTGTGAGATCTTAGAACTTTCCAGTCTAATGCGTGTCCTTAACTTTTGGGACAGACCCTTGCAGAAGTTGCCCTTGCAGCTGCTGATGGAGATACTAATATTGCTATTGAAATCCTCATGAGTCAGCAGGCATTTACCTTCCTCTTTTTTATTTTATTTTATTTTATTTTTAATTCGTATTTTTTATTAGTTAACTTTCTTTGTTTGCATAACTGATAATATTTTTGCTTCTCGTCATGAATGCAGGGATAAATAAGCTTCCTGAAACTGTAGAGGTTTCCTGACGCCATTGTTTTCTTTGCTTGACTCGGAGCTTATTTTGCATTCAATGGAGATGCCACTGGGCAGGTAAATTGTAGAAACAAAGCTGAAGACATTGAAGAACTGCCTATACTAACCAGGTGATAAAATCTATGACTTTTAATGCTGTTTATGGACATGGAGATGAGAAGAACTATGTGAATCATTTAAACCTTTGATACGATACGGATTACATTGCATACCAGATTATGATCATTTTATGACAATTAAAACTTTGTAACTAAGTAATTTACTTATAAATACTGAACAAAGAAGAACAAAAAATAAAATAAAATAAAATGTGACGGTTGATGGACCTTAAAATAAAATAATTTTTTGAAGAAGAGTAGACCGTTGTGTGGTCAGTTTGAATTAATTAATCTTGATTCTATTGGACTTTGGTTAAACGTTAATGAACAAATTATATACAGTATTTACAATTGCAAGTTTAGCAAATCGGAAGAATAGGTTAAGGTTTCCTTTGGGACATTAAAATAGCTTTTTAGTATAAAATTCTTTTATTAAAAAATTTATGTATTTGAAAGTAGTTTTGGGCTTTGTTTGAGATGGTTTTTTTTTTATTGATTTTTAAAGTGATTTTTTAGTACAAAAATTTTAATTTTTATACTAAAAAGTAGCTTTAAGAAGCAGAAAGAAAGCCATCCCAAATGAGGTCTTAGAAAACAATAGGAAGATTTTCTTTTTGTTTTTTAAAACAGTTTTTTAGTAAAAACATTCTTTAATTTGAAATTTTTTTACTATAAAATCATTTTAAAAATAGTTTAAAAGCTGCCCCAAATGAAGCCTAAGTCAATGCTACCAGCATAAACTTCTTGATAATGAGGGCTTTTCTTAGGGAAAACTGAGTATTGTAGCATAAATAATGAATGTTAAAATCATAAAATTTATGATTTTTACAATTCTTTTCTTCAAGGTTTTTAATTAAGCTATTTTTCATTGCTCTCTTCATCACCAAATCAACCATATCAGCATTTATTTTAATCCATAGTTGTCAAATTAAGGCCTAAAAAAATGTCAAATAGACAAAAGTGATTCTATTTACATATGGAGCCCCTTAGGGTTGGGAACATTATTTAAGAAGTGTCATAGCCTTGAATTGCATGATCTTCTTGGATGGCTTGGTCGGCGAAAAATTAAATTGCATATATCGAATAAAAATTGATGAAGTTTAACTTAAAAATTATTAAGATTTAATTTTAGAAGAATGTAATATATGATTAATAAATTATTTATTGTATTCATCTTTAATTTTAATAATTATTTTAATCAGCTTTCTCTAACCCAATATTTTTCCCTTAAGAACTTGTTCTGCTCAATTACTATAAAAGACTTGGTATGACTAAAGCTTCTCATATATATATATATATATGAAAAAAAAAGTAATATTTATATATTTTGAGTTTTTTTTTAATTTTATATTCACCATCAACACATTTAGCCATAAAAATTAGCTTCTCTAAGCATATCTTCCTTTCTAAGTAGAGTGACTTTAATGGAGGCTCTTCCTGTACCTCTGACAACTTCTCGCCAATCTGCAGATTTTCACCCAACTGTTTGGGGAGATTATTTCATCAACTATTCACCATTACAATCAAATACCAGTCTGGTAATTAGTAGTATATATACTCTTCAAAGGAGGATGTGTTATTCTCTTCAAAAAAAAAAAGTTCTCTTCAGCTTTTATAAAATTATTTCTGTTGTAGTTAAGGGGTATAATTTGAGATTACTTTTATTTTTTATTTTTTATTTTTTATTTTTTATTTTAATTTTTTGTTTAATTTATTTTAAAGTTTATTTTACTTTTCATTTGAAAATAAATCAAATTATTTTTTTAAAATACTTAAAAAAATTTAAATATTTTAAAAATAACTATAACTACCAGACCCGTCACAACTCACAAACCCTTCACTGCTATTGCCAACCATTACCACCTCAGTCCAAGCAATCATCATGTTTTTAAGAAATTGTATATATTAATGTAAAAACAATGAAATATAAATAAAATAAAATAAAATTAAAAGTAACCTCAAATGACCCCAAATAATAATGGATTCAATTATAAAAAATCTGCATGTATTTAAATGTCTTGATAAGCCATTTAGTTATATCTTCATTTTTAAATATCTTGTTGGCATGTTTTTAAATGGCCTATTAAGACATTTAAAAACGTGCCAACACAAGATAACAACGTTGATTGCGACATGTTTGTTTGTAAATATATGGAAGTTGTGATACAGCAAGAACCTGTTCAATGGTATCGTTATAAAAACTGACAATATATTATGCCATTATTCAGGGCTGAATTAGCAGATGCCCTTTTATGTACCATCATTCAATAGATTACGGAATAAATTGTGAAATTATTTTGTATATTTATTGTGTTTTTAATGTGTTTTAATAATTTGTTTATTGTACCGAAAAATCCAAGCAATACCGACTAATTATTGACGAGTACCGAGTACTAAAAAAGACTAATACGGACTAATCATAGACTAATACCTAGCAATATGAAAACAGATCGGTACTGCTCGGTATTAGGTGAAATATGCTCGGTACTATATCAGTGCAGTTCAGTACTCACCGAATACCGAACAATACCGACTTCTGTGGACAAGTACCGACTACTAAAAATGACTAATACCGAGCAATACCGACTATTCATAGACTAATACCGAGCAATATGAAAACAGATCGGTACTGCTCGGTATTAGGTGAAATATGTTCGGTACTATATCAGTGCAGTTTAGTACACACCGAATACCGAGCAATACCGACTTCTATGGACAAGTTCCGAGTACTAAAAAGGACTAATACCGAGCAATACCGACTATTCATAGACTAATACCAAGCAATATGAAAACAGATCAGTACTGCTCGGTATTAGGTGAAATATGCTCGGTACTATATCGGTGCAGTTCAGTCTAAAGGGAATACCTAGCATTACCGACTTCTGTGGACGAGTACCGAGCAATGCCGACTAAACATAGACTAAAATTGAGCAATACAAATTTATATCAGTACTACAAAGATATCAAAATTATGAAATTCGCATATACAATCAGGAATTCAAATTCATAATAAAAATATCTCAAAATTCCCCTCACCTTTCCCAAATTACATGAAAGACAATTGACTGCCTAATTCTCCAACTGTAAAGTGTATGCTTGTTGGAGGATTCCTCTCTGTGGGTTTAACTTTTTTGGTCTTTCTTTTCTCCCAGTGATCCTTCAATCTTGCATTTGATACGCCCTTTGGCTGGCACTTCTTAGGATCTTTAATAATTTTATTACCTGCTCTAGAAATTTATTTGTTCTTTCTGTCAGTCTTGATGGAATGCACTTTTGCAGCCAATGCACTCATGACATCTTTCACACACATTTCAGTCTCATCATTACCTTGTGCTTCTGTGCTAATTTTATATGCAAATCGACAGATATAATTTCTGAACATCAAGTTGCTGGACCCTTCATTAGGTTGGCCAGCATTGATACCGATACATGGGATCTTCCCTCCAGAATATAAATCTTTTCGAGCACAGGCTGACCATCTTGGGAGTAAATATTTAACGTAAATATTAACAATATCTAGCTGTCTCATAACTCTCATGCAATGAGAACATAATATACTCATCATTTCGAACATTGCACAGCTGCATTGAATGGTACATTCTAAGGAATTAAAAGTGACAATCCATTTGTATAAATCAGTGGAGTTGTCTATGTTCTTTACAAAAAATCTTGATAAATCCGATGAGGAATGTTCAATGCATAGTCCACCAAGTCCATATAAGAACTCCTCTTTAAAAAATGAATACAACTTTCTTGAATAAAATTTTGCAGCTTGCTTCGATATTGAGCTACTTTTCATGTAAGGTTCTATATCTGTTTGACTACATCTGAATTCTTCATCTTGTTCATTCCGACGTCAAGTCCTCATCACATTTTCCAAACCTAGGAAACACTCATTGATAGTACTTGTTGGCTTGGAATAACCATGACATACATGATTGGTGGACTCACTACGTTGGGTTGATAAAATGCCAATGTTAAAACAATCTTTGTTGAATGCAGTTGACCACTTCTCCCTGATTTTGTTGAGATCATTCAACCATTGATGGCTTTGGAGGTTTCCTTCTGAGATCGATTCAGTCCACTTTCTCTCAAATTCCTCAACAGAATCACACAACTTGAAACAATAAAAAAATAAAAATTTTACTCTGTTGTTACTATTAAAGAACCATACTTTTGAAGGAGCCTTCTTGTACATATGTCATTGGCACAATCGATGTCGTGTATTAGGCAATGCAATCTCTATTGTACTAGCCATGGCTTGGTCTTGATCAGTAAAAATAGTAATGAGATGTTTGTTATCCATAATTCTTAGAAATGTTCTAAACAGTCAAGTAAAAGAATCAATAGTCTCATCAGATAAGAATGTCATACTTAATAGAATATTTTGCCAGTGATTATTCACTTCGACAATAGGGGCATAGACTAAGTTATATTTATTTAAACGATAACTTGTATCAAAAATAACCACGTCCCCAAAACAGTCATAATCAATTCTACCAAGACCATCAACCCAGAAGAAATTTAACAAACAATCGTCTTCATCAGTTTGCACAACCCAGACAAACATGTTGTCATCAATTGTCCATTCTTTAAATAACTTGATTAGTGAATTAGTGTCTCTAGTCTCAATCTTGGCTCTTCTTTCTTTTTGGATGTAGTTGTATGCATCCCGCTTGGTGAACCATAGATTACCAACACCTCCAACTTCATCAAATAGGTATGTAAATGCATCAATAGTTCTTATCCATACTTCTGACATAGATTTCAGAACAGATGCATTCTCATCACTAATGCTCCTAGATGGCCTGAGCAAATGTTTCTCATCCGGCCTAATCAGTTTGTGATTGTGACTCTCTATAGCTTTATTCATCGCCCAAATCCCATCTTGACTCACTGAAAATCTAACCATGGCTGGACATCCTGTTCTTGTACATGATTTTTGATATTTAACCTTTGTACCCAGCTAGTCTCATTCTTGAATCCTACTTTGGAACACAAAAAATCCTTTGATTTGATTTTCCTTGAATTTAGCCAGAAATGGTGATGATCTTTTCGAACACTAAATCCATGTGAATGCGCGTAATGACAGTATTTTTCATATGATTTCTTTTCAGAGTTATAAACACCCTGTGAAAAAAGATTCAAACATCCAGTTTAGCATTATATCTACATATCGATACTGAGCAAATACCAAGCAGGTTGAATGATCGGTACTATGAGGTAATAAGTAGTATTTGCTCGGTACTAATGTACTAGGAGTTTATACCGAGCTATACAAATCAGTAGCAAGCTAATATCGAGCAGGTTGAATGATCGGTACTAGGAGGTAATAAGTAGTATTTGCTCGGTACAACTGTATTAGGATTTTATACCGAGCTATACAAATCAGTACCGAGCTTATACCGACCAGGTTGAATGAGAAGTAATATCTTATATTTGCTCGGTATAAGTTGTATTTGCTCGGTACTACTTCATAAGTATTTTGTGCAAATAGTTCATACCGAGCAACACTGTCTAGTACCGATCAGTACCGAGTCATGTCAAACTTTATCGAGTGACATGAAGTAGCAAAAAAAATTAAAAAAAATAAACATTATAGATAAGGATTTAATTGTATTAAATCAGAAAACACTTCATCAACATTCAACGTCGGAGTTTCCTCGAAATCTTTGAAGTCTTCTAAAGCCAAAACTACATTTGTACCTTCCATCTCCTCGAACACTTCATAATTTCTTTTCCTGCGGTATATGAACCCTAAATACTGTATAACATCTTAGGTTTAATACCCACAAGCTTATTATACATGTGGTAAAAGCCGCGTATTTTTTTTACTTTTCGCGCCCAATTCATATACAACGAGACGGGCATATCCGAAATATTTTTAAAAACGTGCAAAAGAATATGGGTTGCTATTGGGTCATTCCAGGTTATCAGGCTACTACGTGGCGCTTGATTAGGCTATACCGAACGTAGAGCAGCGTTAGGTAACCTGACCCAATAAAAAATTCTGAACGTAGAGCAGCGTCAGGTAACCTGGCCCAATAAAAGTTCCATTATTAAGGCTCTGGATTTGTATTTCTAGCAACTAAGATTTCACTTGGGATAATTTTCTTATTATTTTTTATAGTAACTTTTTAAAATAAAAATTTCTTTGAAATAATAAAAAAATAATATCCAAAAGTTATTCCAAACGAATCCTAAATCTTCAAAACTATAGGTGTTTAAACAAACCTTAGAATCATAAATTTGAAATAAATAAAAATTCTCAAATTTATAATACCCATAATTAAAGGAATGTTATTTTCTTCCAAGTTTCAATGACCTCACTAAATCTGGATGACATGTTTGAACAGTTTTTAAGATGATTAACACTGTTGCGGGCTATAATATACGCGACAATAGAGTTTTAATTCTACGTCTTAGCGTTGCATGGATACCCAGTTCACACATAAAGAACACAAAAACTTTTACATTGAAAACCCTGGAAAGGGGAAAATCCACGAGGCCTAGCCCAGTTGAAAAAAATTAACTAGAATTTGAGTTGAATACAGTGGGCTGACTCGTCCTTGAGGGCAATCAGATTATAAATGTCAACCGTATGTGTCAAAGCTGGCATCACTTGGAAGTTAGGACGTCAATTACTAGTCCGACAGTGACTTGGCAGAACTATGACGTTAGTTGATGGTCTGGCAGAATTCCGGGCCTTAGGTGGTGATCCGGCGGAGTTCAGACCCTTAGGTGGTGGTCCAGCGGAGCTCAGGCCCTCAGGTGGTGGTCTGGCAGAGTTCAAGCCCTCAGGTGGTGGTCCGACAGAGTTCAAGCCCTGAGGTGGTGGTCCGACGAGGGTGAGGGCCTCAAGTGGTAGTCTGACGAAGGTGAGGGCCTCAAGTGGTAGTCTGACGAAGTGTGAGGGCCTCAAGTGGTGGTCAGGCGAAGGTGAGGGCCTCAAGTGATGGTCCGACGAGGGTGAGGGCCTCAAGTGGTGGTTCAACGAAAGTGAGAGCCTTAAGTGGTGGTCAGGCGAGGGTGAGGGCCTCAAGTGGTGGTCCGACGAAAGTGAGAGCCTCAAGTGGTGGTCCGGTGGAATAATGACATCAGGCGGTGGTCTGACGGAACTCAGGCGATGGTCGACGAGGAGCAAGGAGGCAAGAGCGATCTCTGATCTCTCTCTTTGAATACTTTAGCTTGGGGTCCCTTTTCAAGAGAAAAGAGGGGTCTATTTATAGATTTCTGGAATGGCATGACCCGTAAATAGATGAGAGATCAAGAGTAAATGGGGGGTGGTTTGATGGATGGCCGATGTTGAATCCCTTGATCAAGAACCATTTGATAGACATTTGAATGTCCTAGTGATGTCGAAATTTGGTGATCTTGGGCTCGTTGGATTCGTCTCGTCGAGCCGCTCGATTCGACTATAAGCATGTTATGTTTGGAAATCGTTTGGTAATCCAAATTGAGGTTCGAACGTTCCAACAGCACTTCTAACACTTGATTTTGACCCATTTGGGCTCGAATTGGGTTGGATTTGGTGTTATTGGGTTCATATTCTTGGGACGTTCAGTTTGACTGTAAGTTCGTTGAAATCAGAGTTCAGATGGTCCCAATTTTAATTTCGGAAGTTTCCAACTTGATTTTGCATCGAGATTCGTGCCCGATCAAGATAAGTTTTTGATAACGTATCAAACGCAGTGGACAATAGGCTCAGCTTGATAAAATTTACAACACATTTTACAATATATAAGGGTTTTTGAAGGGAAAGAAAAGAAAAACAGCTCACAATTGGTATCAACATTCACAATTTGATCTCTCGAGAACTGTTTGTTGAGGCCCATCTCCCAGATTCAAGGAAAATTTTGCCTACAAGCTCGAGACATGAAAATCCTTGTATCTTTAGACCCTTTACATAGACAATGAGGCTGTCAAAGATTTTTGTTTATTCTTTGATCTCTATGCCATCTTTATGGAGAAAGAATAGGCATTAAATACCACAAATGAAAAAATTGATATAAGTATTACCAATAATCTCCACAAGAGCACACCCCATCTTCAAAATGGTGGAACCTTTTTGTGTCTCGGACTATGATCTTCCTCTTAGCAATCTTTGATATGAACTTAGTTGCTGTATGACAATCCACACACACCCTCAAGTTCTTCATCACCCTCAACACCTCCCCTTCCTTGCTGCTCAGAATTCCAAAACCAATAGCTAATCTTTCACTATGCCCACAAAGCATCTCTTCTTTTTCCTGATCATTCAAGTTCACCAACACGCAATCGGTTTCTACAACATAACCCTCTGCTCGCATCCTCTCCTCAAAATCCTTCAAGAATTTACAGATCTGCTCTATCTTCGGATGACATTTATCGAATGCGGCGAAATAATGTATTCCCCCTGCTATCTCTATTGAGCTCCACCCTGGAAGCTTTGAAACCTTCCTCTCCCGCATCAGGCGCCGCATCTTCGCAACACCATTCCAGTGCTTCGCAGCTGCGTAGATGTTGGACATGAGAACATACCAACCTGCATTGCTGGGATCAAGCTTCAAGATTTCTTCCACAAGCCTCTCAGCCATGCCAACATTGCTGTAGATCTTGCATGCATTCAACAATCCACCCCAGATACCAGCATCTGGTTTGATGTGCATCTTCTTAATGAACCTCTCAGCCTCTTCCAGTCTTCCTGCCCTGCCAAGCAAATCAACCATACAACTGCAATGCTCTAATGTAGGCACAATACAATACTCTTCAGTCATCTTCTTGAAGTATTTCTGGCCCTCATTAACCATTCCTTTGTGGCTGAAACCAGATAGAATTCCCACAAAAGTGATACAATCTGGCTCAATACCAGATTCCACCATCTGGTTAAATAGCATCTCTGCATCTTTTGCAAGCCCATGCATTCCATAACCACAGATGATTGCAGTCCAACAGATGAGATCTCTCTTGTGCATTCCATTGAAGACTATTCTTGATTCTTGTATGCTGCCAGATCGCGCATACATATTTATAAGAGCAGCACCTAAATGAACATTTATCTCCAAACATTTTTTAATCAAATTTTCGTGTATCCATCTTCCGCGTTGCAAGGCTCCTACAGAGGAACAAGCTTGGAGGACACTTACCATAGTTACTGCATCATATTTTACATCTGATTTTTGCATTTGCTCAAAGGTGATCAAAGCTTCCTTATATTTACCACATAAGACATACCTGCAATGATAAAGAAGCCAGAAACAGCAAATGAAACAGACTAAAAAGGACATCCATTAACTAAAAAAAATCAAAAAGCTATGTATACCGGGAAAAAAAAAAAGAAAAAAAAAAACCAACAATGACAGATTTAAAATATTCACTATCTCATCAACAAAATCATTTTCTGGAGTCATTCAAAGAAGATCATCACATGTTGTAGCGTCAAAGAATTCAGGAAATATTATTCACTTATAAAAATAAAAATCATGTATTCAAAAGATCACCATCAATTCTAAAAGGCTAAAAGGAAAAGTGTTTCACAATCATAAAGAACCTTAATCTGACCACAAGCATGGAGTGAAGAGGTCAATTTCCATGGAGTGAAACTAAGCAATAGTGTGTATTTTGCAATGTAATACTGATGCTTACAAATTCGTGCACCTAAAGTTACACAGATAACAAGCTAGCATATTAAAAGGGCTGGGTCTGAAAACTCCGAAAAAATAAGAGTTGTGCTTCTAGCTCATGTGCCAGTAACCAATGGATAACATTGCTTATATGGCATCCATACAATTTATACAAACCATCTAAATGCGCAAGTGCCTGTAACGTTAAAGACATCTAGATCATCATTAACTCACATTTGTCTTTGCATACAACCAACAACAACATCAAGCCTTTGTCCCACTACATGGGGTCGGCTACATGAATCCTTTTTCGCAATTGTGTCATATTAAAAGTCAAATTCTCATTTAAATTTAATAAAGAAAGATCATTTCTAATACTTTCTAACCAAATCTTTTTAGGTCTACCTTTATCTTTCTTAGCATAAGTCAAATCTAATACTTCAACTTTCCTAATCGGGTCATTGGAAGGCCTCCGTTTAATGTGCCCACAAAGTAAAAAATATATATTTTTCTAAAGCTTCAACTGTCAATGCTCCTTTTTCGATGTCATATCATAACTTAATTTGTATGAAAAAAGAAGAACAAGAATCCCAACCACAAAGTTTATAGCAGTCATGAAGAACACACATACAGAATAGCTGATTCATCTATGGCATTAGAGATAATTTTCGTTCTATACAGTAGCCTTGAATATCAAGATTACTCAGAATTGGAATACAAAGATAAATAAGTAAATTAAAAGATGTATTGTCTGAAACAGGAAAAAATAAACTTAAATAAAGGAGCATTATTTTTACGGTAAGACAAGGAACTTCCACCACCCAGGAAGTAAACTTAAAAAACAGAACTATCCTTGCTTCGATATAATTAAATGACGCTAATACATAAACAAAATCTAAAAGAAATAAACTTCGATCACTACACGCAGTTAAATTTATCTCACCCAGCAATCATTGAATTAAAAGCCGCAGTACCTCTCTGCGGCATTCTACCAAACACCTCCCTTGCAGATCCAATATGCCGGCATTTGCCATACATATCAATGATCGCCGTCGCCACAAACAAATTAGACTCCATCCCCATCCTTTCAATTTCTTCATGGACTCTGCGGCCTTCATCAATGCTCCTCAACCCAGCACAAGCCGGAAGAACAAACGTGAATGTGAACTCATTTGGTCGAACACCACGCGAAAACATCAAACAGTATAAATCTATGGATTCCCGGAATAGCCCATTCCTCGAAAACGCTTTGATCGTTTCGTTCCATAGGAAAAGCGGAGCTTTTTTGGGGAAATTGAAGAGAATTTTATTGGCAAAAGCGAGGTTTTTGAAGAAGAGGTAGGTATGAGCTAGGCGAGTGAGGAGGAAAGGGTTGTTGGAGAAGCGGGATTTGAAGACTTTGGCGTGGAACTGGGGAAGAGATGACGGTGAGGAGGAGCATTGATCGAGCTGGGACAGAAGGCTCGTTAGGGTTTCGCCGATGGATTTGGAGGGAGATTGGTGGGGTTTTGGCAGTGGAATGGAGAAAGATGGGATTTTGGGAAAATTTTGTGCCCGGATTCCGTTCATTTTATTTTTTTTGAAGCTGTGACATAACTTTGCAATAAAAATGTTTAAAATTTATAATTTTGCTATAAATAAGTTTATCTGACTAAAAATTTAGAGAGATTTAAGCATATAACATCATAATTTAATATAACTATAAAATAAATATTCACCCAACATAGTGAAATATTAAAATTATGTCTTTGTATGTACCGCAAGAAAAAAAATTTAAATAAGTGAAAAAACTATGAATTGATTCCACTTAGGCAGGACTTGCGTAGGGGCTTGTTAGTGAGAAGTTTTGCTAGGATTTATTTATTTTTCCCTTCCTTTCTCCTTCCTGCCTCTTCCAGGAGAGATTATTGGGTTCGGACATCGGACACATGTTACGATTCGGTACTTCAAAGTACCGAGTAATACTGAACTCAGTACTGTGAAGTACCGAGTTCAGTACTCCACAATACCGAGCAGTACGAAGCTCGGTACTAAGCAGTATCAAGCTTAGTACTGCTCTGTACTGTGGAGTATCATGCTTATACAGAGCTCAGTGCTGAGTAAGGGGTGATGTGGCGCATTTTCATTGAGCTCCAAATGTCTTTCGGTGTCTGAACCCAATAATTTCCCCTCTTTGAGGCCTCGCTCTGTAGCTGCTGGAGGGATCCTCCCTCTACTCCACCTCCTTTCCTCCGTTTCCTAACTCCTCTATTTCTCCTCCACCAACTGGACCGTCAAATCCCTTACCTTGGGATTGCATCCTTACGGACACATCTAATATCTGTGCGCTCCCTATTTCTCCACTACTGAACCTTGATGAAATTATCAAGTTTTCCTCTGAAGACATAGCAGATGCTGTTGAGGAGTGGAATCTTGCTCTCGTTGGCTACTCTCTTGGGAAAAGAGATTTCTACGAGTCTTTACTTAATGCAGTACAGAAAATATGAAAACTCAAAGGTACTCTAAAACTCATTTCTCCATGTGACCGATTCTTTTTGTTCAAGTTCTCGTACTCTGAGAACTATGAAATGGTTTGATTTAGAGGAGCTTGGTTTGTTCTTTGCAAACCATTTATATTACAAAAGTGGTCTACCCACTTCAGTCCAAAGAAAGAAGAATTTACCTTTGTGCAAATATAATTTAAGATCCATGATTTACCTCTATATTGTTGGACATCAATTGGAATATCAAAAATTGCAAAAAAAATTGGGCACCCTTTTGCAGTAGATGCTCTTATTGCCTCTAAATCCAGACTCACATATGCTAGAGTATGTGTGCATGTAGACTCTTTCGCTTCTTACCCTAAAATCATTCCTATCTCTGTTGAAGGTAAGATTTTTAATATTAAAATTCAATATGAATGGCGCTCGATCCTTTGCTCCATATGCAAATCCCTAAATCATCTCACCTCCTCTTGCCCCTCAAACCCGAACCCTGAACCTCAACCCACCTTTAAGCTTCATAAAGGGAGAAGCTCCACTCGTAGGCCAAGACCCCCTTCACAGAATTCTAAAGGCATTCTCCCATTACTAAAAGACTTGCCTTCTATCATCATATTAACTCAACATTCTAATCAAGAACCATACATTCAACCTGACATTCCACCTACTCTAGATCCTTAAAATCCTAAGCCGGCAGACAATAATAACACTGTTGGGATTACTGTGGGTCTCCGAAAGGGTTCCGCTCGTGTGGTTCGAATGCAAAGGGTGCGATCACACTATCCCGAAGGACAAAATGGTCGTAGACCTTTAATTCCTAACTTAAACTCCCCCATTATAGTGGCATCCTTTTCCTTAGACATAATAGCTCCTCGTCTCATGGATAACATACCTTCCAAAATTGTATCACCTAATACTACCCTCCAAGATCCTTCAGACTTTGAAGTTGCTTCTTCTCAGGACATGGTAGAGATAGCTAAAGGCTCTCATCATAAACATCATTCTAGCTCTATACCTTCCTCCAATACATAGCCTTCCTCAAACCCTCCGAAGGCAGCATTCCAATCTCATAGAAACACTAGAGGAAAAGGCTCCAGGAAATGCCCAAACCCACCTATAAATATCTCATGACCCTTCCCTCAATAGCAGTTTAAAATATCAGGGGTTTCAATAACCCTGACAAAGTTTTATGTTGCAAGAATTTGGTCCATCAACATGAACTAAATATGATATGCCTACTTGAAAATCAAATTCTTATTTCTAATTTCAATGACCCTTGATTTTGTTTAACTCATTAAAATTTTTATCAAGAGAATAGTTTCAATAATTTTGAGCTAGCTTCTTTTAAACACATTTGGATTAAATGGAATTAAAAAAAAAATCTTCCCCTCTTTCTTTTCCAACCAAATGATAAATGGTATTGTTAACTATGGCACTTAGTCGTCTTTCCTTTACTCGGTCGTTTATGCATCAAATTCCTACGAGGAGTGCACTCTTCTTTGGGATGACCTTATACGTATGAATCCCACTTGCAACATGCCATGGGTAGTGCTGGGAGATTTTAAATGTTGTCTCTACCAGATTGAAAAGTCTGGGGGAATGAAATTGTAGTGTCTAGGCTAGTCCCTTTCAACTCTCTTATTTTTGATACCAACCTGTTGGACATGCCCTCTACTGGTAATTTTTACACTTGGTTCAACCAAAGAGCAGAAAATCCTATTAATCTAAAGTTGGATCGTGTGCTCACTAATGAATCATGGAACAAAATTTTTCCAAATTCCTACTATAATGTGATGAATAGCTTGATTTTTGATCACACACCGCTTATTGTTAAGATGGATATTGTGAGTAATCATAAACAGAGATTTATGTTAAGAACTATTGGAGCAAAATTCCAGACTTCTAGGATATTCTCATCTCCTTTTTGCAACTCCTGCTCAAGGAAACCCCATCAACTGCCTCTACAATAAACTCAAGCTACTGAAAGAAAAAAAATCAAATCTATGAAATTGGATTTCTCTAATCTCATAGTAGCTAAATGTGCAGAATTGTCCTCTCAACAACAACATTGTCAATTACTTGCTGACCAAGATCCTCTTAACTTAAATGTTTGTAATAAACTAAAGAAGGTCAATGCTAAACTTGATTTTTACAATTCTCTATGATCTACTTGGACTATTCAAAGGTCGAAAATGAAGTGGTTGACTAATGGTGAGGAAAACTTAAATTTTCTCTATTCCAAGCTTCATAAGAGAAACTCTCACAATAGAAGCATCCTCTACGCCTCTATCCTTGGATCTAAACACTCTCGAGCAGCCAACATTCAAAGCACTATATACCATTGTAAGGACATGTACAACTCTCTTGCTCCTAGTCTTTCTAAAATAGCCAACATCCCTACCGGTAAAGTGGCTCCCTATGCAATTTTGAATTCTCTGCTCTTGGATGTCACCAATGAGGAGATATAATCATCTGTCTCTACTGGATGTTCCAATTTGGCCCCCAGCCCTGATGGTTTCAACTTTAATTTCTACAAAAAAACTTGGATCATCACTAGCCCAATGGTATGCAAAGCTGTCAGATCTTTTTTTTTAACAAATTTTACCTTCCTAAATGTACAAAAGCTACTGTCATTGCCCTTGTTTATAAGAAAACTCATGATAAAAGTACCCAAGACTTTAGACATATTGCTCTTTGCAATATTTTTCATAAAATCATTGCTAATATCATAATTACTCGCATGATGCCTATCATGCCAGAGATCATTCACACCAGAGATCATTCACAAGAGGCAAGCAGCATTCATTACTAACTGACTATCTACAGATAATCCCATTCTGGAGGTTGAGATTCTAAGTTTGTGTAATAAAAACTATAAAAATAAGTAATTTTGTGCCAAATTAGACATTAGAAAAGTTTTTGACACTATTTCTCAAGACTTCTTATTTGTTAGAATGGCACAAAAAGGCTTTCTATAGACCTTCATCAACTAGATTAAAGCTTGTATTAATGATACCCATTTTCTCATATGCATTGATGGGGCCCTTGAGGGTTATTTTAACTCCACTTCTAGTCTCAGACAAGGATGGCCCTCAGTCCATATCTTTTTTGCATCATTATGGATGCTCTTTTTTGCCTCATTGTTGAACCGAATGAAACAAACAATTTTTAAGGCTTCAAGCTTGAAAATTTTCACATATATCAGCTTACTTATGCAAATGATTTATTGGCTTTTGGCAAAGCTGATAACAAAAATTGTGAGTGTGTAATGTAGATACTTAACACTTTCTCTAACTTTTCTTGCTTACATCTCAACCTAGAAAAGAGCTCCCTTCTTTACTCTCCATTTACCCCCAATTCTTTTATAATTTCACAATCCCTTCAAATTCATAATATCTCCACCAAAATTTCTTACTTGGGTCTGCCAATATCTTTGGGTAGAACTAAAATATCTGACTTCTCCCCTCTGATTGAAAAACTTACTAATCTTCTTTATGGATGGAAAGCTAGACCTCTCTCTTTTACATATATATATATATATATATATATATATATACTCCCCCTTGGAAAATATGTCATCATAACATCACAGCCTTTTAGAAGAGCATTTGCAACACATCTTCTTTGGTTATAAAAAAGTTTAAATTCCAAATTATTCATAACAGTTCAGTTGCAATTTACTAGGACCATTGGTGTCTGAATGATAAGATCACTTCCATTTTTTTGGATTTATTTCTTAGCTCGGTTCGCAATCACAATGCATTACTAGCTAATTGGATGCATCAAAATACTTGGAGCTTACCTGATATTATTAGCCAGCATATTAAAGATTAAATTCACTCCAGGCCAATTTCTATAAACTCCATTAAGCACATTATCTTGGTCAATATTGAGAATTTTACCTTCAAAGAATTTTACTTGGAATTATTTGTTATTGTTGCCTCTTATGACTGACACTCCTTGGTCTGACATCACAAACACTCATTGAGATTTTCTACTTGCACTTGGATGGCTTTGAGAGAAGGTCTGAAAACTGTTGATGCTCTTTCTAAAAGGAATATCCTTATTTTGGATTATAAATGCCCTCTTTGTCAAAGATGCTTC